TTTATACTCATCTTTTTGCTAAGTTGTTTAGGGTGGGAAAAGAATACAGAAATGAAAAAATTGCAGCAAGGAAGAGTTAAATGCTTTTTTAAAACAGATGTGAGTCATGTGTTTTGTCTTTGACACTTTTTTAAGTGTTCCATTAAATATTTGGTAATTAATCTGTGGAAACTTGTCCGATTTGTCTTTTCAGAGACTAAAAACATTATACATAAAGATCCTTGATGTTCTTCAGCAAATGCCTAAAAATGCAGGATACCGAAAGTATACAGAAGAAATTACAAATGAGAGGCTGAGTAAGGTTAACATAGTAAGTAGCTAACTTACTTTTGTTCTGTTGAGCTTATGGTACCCAATGCAATTGTCTTATGCTGGGTTCTCTAGGGAAGCAAAACAAGTAAAGCATATAAACATATATAGAGAGATTTATATCAAGGAAACAGCTCACGTGATTGTAGAGGCTAGAACGTCCCAAGTCCGTGGATCAGGGTAGAGGCCTCTCCTGATTCACACAGCCGCAGAAGCTGGTGAACCCAAGATCAGCAGGCAGGAGAGCAGGGCTCCTGCTCACAGGCTGTGAAGGTTGACGAATTCCAATATTGGCAGGCAAGACTGCAAAGCTTCTCCTGATTCATGTAGCTGTAGGGGCTGGCGAACCTAAGATTAGCAGGTCGAGGAGCAGGACTTTTGCTCGCAGGCTGTGAAGATCGATGAATCCCAAGATTGACAGGTAGGCTGCTAGCTCAAGTCCCAAGAACCGGAGGTGAGATGACAAGAGGGAGCTGCTGGACACAGAACAAGCCAAAAACCTTGGCAAGGCGAGCAGGAATGAAGTAGCCAGTGGAGGGTAGAGATGAAGGCTGAGTGGCCCTGCCCCTGCTGGTACCACTCAGTAGATCCCATCATGAGAATGATCACATATCAGATTTCAGCAGGGAAGTGATCACAGCATTATACAACTGCCAAAACACTGAGAATCATGGCTTACCCAAGTTGACATACAATCTTAATCGTCACAGCAATGTTTAACAAAAAAAATTGAAGTGTTTAGTTTTTGCATATTCTACACACTTTCCTTCTTATTTCTATTCTCTTCCCTTCCATGCTTTTTCTATCCTTTCTACATTTCATTCAGCCAATTCCT